CCGTTAATTAAAAGGCTGTTTATATGCATATCCGCTAATTGTTTATGAGAAGCACACATGTAAGAGACTGACAATTAACTGAACATATACTTGTTAAATAAGAGACATTTAGCCTGCATTTTAAAATCTTTATTTGAATGTGGCAATTATTATAATTTTTATTTTTAAACCTTTATTTGAATATGGCAACATAATACTGTGCTCTACAATATTTCTATGAATAAATCTCTGACAGAGACTATCAGCCAATCACTGTGGACATAGTTAGTAAGCATGCTGACATCATCCATAGCAACGAGGTCAGCCCCGCCCCCTTACTCTGAGCTTAAGACTTCTCTGTATTCCTTAGTAAAAGTTTGTCTCAGCAGCTTTGTGAATAGGTTTTAAGAGAAAACTCTTAGCTAAAAACTTTTACTGCTATTTAGGAGAACTCTTAGTGGTAAGATCAAATGTTTTGTGAATACGGGCCCAGGTGACCGACTACCAAAAAACGTCTTACCTCTGAGCTTGCCAACAAGGGTTTCTGCACCAAGTACTAAGTCATGTTTTGCTTGGAGATCAAATACTTATTTCACTCACTTGAAATGCAAATCAATTTCTATCCTTTATATAATTTGTTTTTGTTTTTTTTCTGGATTTTTTGGTTGGTATTCGGTCTCTATCCGTTCAAATAAACCTACCATAAAAAATTACAGACCCTTCATTTCTTTGTAAGTGGGCAAACTTACAAAAATCAGCAGGGGATCAAATACATATTTTCCCCACTGTATAGAAAATCTCAGATTTCAGGATGAAATAATTTAATGTTTTGTAACTTACAATATTGTAACTTACAGTATCTCAAAAGCTTCAAACTGGTATATATGTATGTAAATAATCAGATTTGTGCTTAGGACCTTACTATACTAAACTATACACTGTTTAAGTTATAATAAGTTACAATGAAACTGGTTACTTCTGGTTAAGTACTTTCTACAAGTGTTTTTCCCCCATAATGTTTTACTGTTCGTTATACCAGTGTTATATTTTTCATTGTTGGTGTATTTATTAATATTTTGAATTGGGTTGCCATGTTTTCAGTTTTAATTTTAGTTTAAGTGATTTTCTCATTTTCCTTTTTTTTCTAACAATTTAAGTTTAATTTTAGTACTTCGGCTTTTTGTTTTCTCTCTGTCAGCTTTATTTTAATTTTATAAAATTAAATTTTATTATTATTATTTTTTTTTTTATAAATTTAGTCAACAGTGACTTGGGCACGTCCTTTTTGTTTTGTCAGCTTTGAAAAACCAGCACAAGATGGCAGCACGTGTTCATACATGTAAAGCAAGTTTTATGAAACGCGGGTTTGAGTGAGTGATTCTCCTCCAGCTGAGGGCAGAGACGAGGAGAGAACTCTTATTAGTTCTGGGACTTTTGCTGGATAGATATTGCACTCTTCCTTAGTCCACAAAATGGTATGTCTTCTTAACCCCCATTTAAATGTGTGCAACATCATATGCATAATTGTGTATGCTCTACAATACTGTGTACAATCTACAACATTCACATATTTACATTAAATGAAAATGAATGTCATGCGTGCTTAGTATGGTTAAGATTTGAATAAAAGAGTATAAGGGTGAATTGAAAAACATCACTTCCAAAATTACATAACCGCACGTGCATCATCATGCTAATGAGGTAACGTGGTCAGATGTGAGATGTTATTCCAGCTGTCTCTCTAAACCTGCGTTTACTGAGGGCCTCCCATGTCGAGACACTTTTAGTATCGTTTGCTAATTTTGGTTGATACTATCGTTTAGGCCACTCAACCTCTTGTGCTCACTAGTGTGGTTTAATGTGGATTTGTTTTTATAGGTCTTTGGAATGTCAGACCGTTGATGCAAATGGCATTTGTTCAGGTCAGTTTTCAGTGAACGGTAACTACTGGATTTAATACAATCGGAAGTGTGTTTTTTTTATTTTATGAAAACTATTATTAATAATGATAATAATATTAGAATATTAGTAATAATTGCAATAATATAAATTATTTTTTATATTATTATTATTATTATGAAAGAGTTAAACAGTAAGAGTGAAGAGGCTCGCTGTGATTGGGCTAAAGTTGGCCGTAGGGCTGGACTGTCTCACACTCCTGTGTGTGTGTGTGCGCGTGTGTCTGTATTGCGTGTCTGGACGGCGAAATATTTAGCTAACGGTGTTTAAAGCAACGCTTTGATACAAATGTAGGTGCTGTAAAAATTGTCGGGCGTGTGTTTTGTTTTCTGAAGAATCTATGGAGATAAAGTCAATGGTATTTGAACTGCTTGCGCGATATAGCGCGCGGTGACTGTCATCTAACGCTACAGAAGTTTACAGCAATCAGCGCGTGTATTAAGAAGTGTCACGCGAGAGCTGCGCGTGATAATAAAACAGTTTGAATTCGCTGGATGTTTATATAGGCACGGAACGTCCGGTGTGTTTTAGGAGGATGTAAGCATGATATTTTATCCATCAGTCGCAAGGAACAGCTTTATGAACGTTTTCAACTGTTGGTAAGTCTCGCATGTTTGACTTTGAATATTTTATTGCATGTTTTATGGTTTAAAAAGTACCTTTTACCCACTTGGAACCGCTTTTTATGCACATACAGCTTATTTCACGAGTAAAATATCTTTATGTTGCAGGTTGTGCTGTATTATGATTTAATGGAAGCATTGCTTTTGTTTTATAAGACACCTTAATTGGCGTTAGAAATGTAATTCAATCCTACACACATTTACAAACGTGCAACAGAAGTTCATAAGTGTTTCAGAGTAATTCACCAGTCCTTGTTCTCACTAACAGCTTTATTTATTTCATAGATTGAAGAACCAGAGAGCCTTAATAGGGACATCATGGAACTTTTTTGGATAGTTTTCTTCATATTTGACATTATTTTCATGACAGACTGCGCTAGAGGTGAGTACAAGTATATTTGCCCTTGTGAAACGTCTAAAAAAAAAAAATAATGTTTTGATATTTTAATATTCTTGTTTAATACTACACGGTTTAAAAGTAATTGTGTCACTATATGTTGATTTTATGTAACCTTACATGACATAGTTGTGTTCTAGTTACAGTCACTAAATAGTCACACATGCATGCCGTGTGCTTGTCTATATGCTCAAGATTTCCATTAGAAAGTTTAACAAAAGAATTTAGGCTTATCCGGTAACAAACCTGTCAGGTACCAAAACGTTAGACTATTTCCCCCTAGTATGTTTAATGAATTCAGCAACATATCTGTTAGTTACTAACTTTTTTAAATATCTATGTTAAAACTCGAAGAGCGGCAAGAAATATGTATCTTGTTTGTGCAACATTCATAAAATGAGTCTGCTTTTATTTAAAGTTCTTACGTTTTCGGTCTTAATGTGAATTTATATATCTTTATTTGATGTTGGATATAACGGCATTATGTTTGGTTTGGTGCACAGAAAAATATCCATACTCGAGAGAAAAAAAGCATTTGTAAGACTCATTAATAAGAGTGTTATTCAACTGACAGGCTAAACATGATTTAAAATGTGTTATTTGAAATGAGGGCCTTAAACCATCTAAACTCAGTGCATCTCTTACATCTGCCGAGTTGAAATTCAATCGTAAGGATTCCTTTAACCTGTCTATTGAATTCAGGTCCAGATTGAGAGCTTGAGACTTGGGTTCTGTCGCTGGCATTGTTTGCTGAATGCAGTCCTCTCGCATTAGCCATTCTCTGGTCTTCCTTTTGGACTGAAACGAACCATCACTTCCATGCATAATGGGCTGAATGGGGGCCGGGGCCGCTGATGGGCAGATAGTACAGCTCACTGACTCCACTCTATCAGGGCTGCATGTGAAGCGTGATGGAGTCTCTCTTTTGCGTTAGCGTACACCTCGGACTCAACAGCCTGTCACCGGAGCTAGAGAGAGGCCGAGCGACGTCTGTGCAGATTGCATCTGTGAGGGGCCCTGAACAATGTGGCATTCACGGTCACATAGCCCTGGCCTTCATAGAGACGCTTAGCCACAAGTAAACAGAAATGCAGAAAGCAGTGCGATTAGATTAGCCAATTATGTTTGTTTGCGTTGCAATACCAAAGGTGTGCCTCCCAAGCCAGGGAGATTTGTGTT